TTGCGGACGCTTGCGGACGCTTTGCGAACATAAACGCAACGACCTCGCGTCGCCTCCTGGACCCCTGGACCCCAACCTTAAAACGGGAACCCTTCGGCTACGCATTCGGGAAAAATCCCTGTAGTTTACGTTTTACTTTCCATGAACCCTAAAACCTTAAAACATCTAAAGCAATATATCCTCTATATAATCCTGATATAGCCCCTATATAATCCTTATAACCCGAAAATCCCTGTAGTTTCCATTTCATTTTCCATTAACCCTATAGAACCCCAAACCCAGGTTCGGACGGGTCGTGGGAGGCCTCCAGCTGTTGTCGGCAGCTTAGCCGATGACCTGCTCATAGGGACGGTTTTGGAATTTAGGGGTTTAGGGGTTCAGGGGGTTGTAGGGTTTAGGGTTTAGGGTTTTGGGGTGTAGGGTTTAGGGTTTAGAGTTTAGGTTTCAGGGTTCAGGGTAAATAAAATGGAAACTACAGGGGTTATAGGGGTTGTAGGGATTACATAGGGATTATTTCGGGGTAAAATGGGGATTATACAGGGTGTATATTCGGAGACTGGAAAACAAGATTGAAATTACTATTTAGGGTTAAGGGATTACGGTTTTAGGGCTGAGAATTTTAGAGCTGGAGGGATTGATGGAATATAGAATGGTAACTACTATTTAGGCTTTAGGGTTTTCAGGCTTAGAATTTAGGGTTTAGGGTGTATTCAAAGTTTTGTATTACTGGTTTGTAGAAATTGTTTAGGTTTTAGGCTGCTAAGTCCTGGTTTTGGACTTAGAGCTTTTCTTTGGCCCTTGAGTCTTTGCTTTTGCTCACTTTTTTTTCTCAGAGCTTTTGTTCTTGCCCGCCGGCAATTTCATTTCATCTTGGCTTGAGGGCTTAAGGGTAGGGGACCCAATATAAACCCCAATACATTACAATCGTTACTCTGAGCCCCCCAAAAAGATCCCCAATTTCTAGGAAACCCTTCTTTCTAAACCCTAAACTTCTTTCTAGGAAACCCTTCTTGGCATTTAGGGTGTTGTAAAAATCATTTCATGGGACTGGGAGGGGCGAATTCATGAACCCGGGTAATGTAGGGGCCTAAACAATTCCTTTGGATTCTGGAGGTTTTATCTGGTATGTATTTCTTAGGCCAGCTGCTAGATACTGCTAGCGTTGGTAACATACCTGCCTAGACCCTAAACCCTAAAAACAAGCCTTTACCTAAGTCCCCACATCCCTCTGGCTGTCCCGGTAGGACTTCATCCCCCAATTTCTAACTACACTGTAGGGGTTAAGGGTTTAGGGTTTAGGCTTGTATAGGCTGAGTGGGCTAATACAAAGGATCAAGTTTTCAGATCCGACCACCGGACCGGTTGTCTTGGTAAAGTAGTCCCTGTAAAATTCCCAATGCAAACCCAGGAAGGGTGCCTAGTCCATGCATTTCACCTTTCCCAACTAAGCATTGTTAAGTTTGCTGGGAAGAATGCGGAATCCGGGCACAAGAGCATTCTCTTTCAGGGATGTCTTCAACAACTGGGAGACGGATCCCAAAGACAAGCCCGTGAAAGAGATCCAGCTCATTCGAACAGAGGCCCCTCGCAGGAGTGTAGATTTGAAACAGGATGGCTGCCTGTAACCTGTGCTTAGATCATTTAGTTTTAGGGTGCAGTGTTTTTGCAATGCTTTGCTGTTACTTGAACCTTTAAATGACCATGTAAGCCTCTTCTGCACAGGTCTTCAAGAATCCGTTCAAGGAGACCATCGAGGAAATGAACAAGCCCAAGGTCGAAAAGGCCAGGGTAAGGGTTCATGGGTTCAGTGTTTAGGCTTTGGGCTTACAGTGCGGGGTCCGAGGTGTATTTTTTTTTGTTTCTCGTTTCGCGACTTGGGACTTCACTTGCATCCCGAAGATGGTTTCATTCTTCTTGTCAAGCCTCAAGAAGGTAGCCTTCCCGCTGAAACATTTGCACATGATACCGTCGACTCTTGAGGGGTCAGTGTGCACAGCTTTCGCTCGTCCTGTTTCCGGAACCCTAAACCTGAACGCTGAACGCTGTGGTTATGTGGATGCCGAGTCTCTGGCTGTCTGTCAGGTGATCGACCCCGTGGCCACATGGTTTAGTTCTTGACTCAGTCGCATGGGTTTTGGGAGTGTCCCTTTAAAGGGGGTTCAAGGGGCCATGAGGGGCTTCAGGATTTTGAGGTGGTCGTGGTGGCGATAATGATGACGATGGGTGGCAGCGGTGGCGGTGGCGGCGATGGGGGTGGTTGTGGTGGTCCACCGCCACTGCCTTTGTGCCATCGACGCGACCGTGGCCGCCGCCACCGCTCGCCACCTGCCACCCGCCAATCCGCCACCCGCCGCTTACCCGCCGACAACCCGCCAGACGCCATCGCCAACCGCCAACCTGCCATCGTCGTGCTGCTACTCTTGCACCTGCTGCTACTACTACTTGTACGGCTTCTGCTAGTACAACAGCTACAACTTCTACCACGGTAAGACCATGACAACTGCTGCTTTTTAAGTCTGATCGGCTCAGGTAACAGAAAAGATCCCATGCAGGGGCACAAGAATCGCAACTCCACCCAGGTGCTTTTGTAGCAGTTTAGGGTGTGTAGTTGAGCAATGTGCATCATATATGTATGCATACACACTTTTTTAGGATCTCAAAATGATCTATACGCACGTTCGAGTTAAGGGTTTAGGGTGGCCGGAGCGGTTCTGTTTTGGGTGCTTGAATCCTGTGCGGTACGGTGTAGTGTATAGGCTTCATACAGAAAACTGTGGGCAAACAATCAACTTCCTGCAAGACGACCCTCACACAACTACACCGAGGAAATGCTTATGGGGAAGAAAAAAGCTTTCAGTGTTATGTTGCCCAAATCCCCAGACATACCTTTCATGAAAGAAATCCTGCACTACTTCGGCTACCCTAAGATGTTAGGAAGCGCATGCTTTAGTTCAAGGAGCCTCACTGTCGAATGGTTTCCTCCAAATAGCAGTGTGGTGGCTTCGTGCAGATATCCTCTGGCTAAAGGATTCAGGCCTAATACTCGAGTGCCGGATTTAGGGTTATTGAGGGGGTATGAAAAATTCTTGGTAATAGCCATGACTACTATGATTCTTGCATTACTATTAATAGTACGCGTATTACTATTATCATGACTATTATTATCATCATCATTCTAACTACTATCACTATTACTACCTAAAGTCCTTTGACCCTAAACCCTAAACCCTAAACCCTGTTCAGTTGGGATGTCACAGCTTCTTTCCCAGTACCCCCACCTGGCCAGCCAGGTGGGGAAATACTTGGAAGAGGAGCTTCTGCCTGGCGAGAAGAGGCGAAAGGAGCCACAACGTCCACAGCCTCCCAGAACTTAGGGTTTAGGATTTAGGGTTTAAGGTTTAGGGTTTAGGGTGAGAAGGGCAACCCGCAGCGTAGTCGGTGAGGCGTAGGAAGAGTGGCAACAACTTGCGCTGGATCTTCTCGTTTGCAAGTGCTTGGGCCCCCAAGCCCTAAACCTCAAACCCGAATACATGGTCCCCCTTTTGATCTGTAGATTTTCCGAGATAGTGCAATCTAAGCAATCCTTGACTGAGAGCAAGACCCGCCATAAAGGAACCTCTCATCTCTGGGAACCCGAATCTGGTACAGGAGCTGCCATCTGAAGAAATGGAATATGCGAACATCGCCCAGAAGCCGCTGGCTACCATTTTTTTCAATTGTGGTTGCTCAAGTAGGGGGTACTTTTGGACCCCAAAGAAAAAGAAAATTATGAGCAGTTTGAAGGCATCCCTCCTCAGGGATTACATAATCACCATCTGGAGTAGATCCACACATGGTCTGCTAAGGGATGCCTGTAGGAAGGACTACATAATGTGTCGATATATCTATCTATCTATCTCTCTATCTATCTATCTATATATATATATGTATATATATATAGTTATATATATATATAAATGTGTCCCCCCGCTTTGCCTGCTTTTTGGCTTTGCAAGGCTTGATTTTGAGCAATACGGAGGTAAATACAGTGCTCAGATGCACTTGACTGTGATGTTTGGAAGGTCAAAGAAGGCTCGCACAGACTTCGACTTCTCCTCATGGTGAGTTGGCCATGGTTTCACCTAGTAGAATTTGGGCTCATGTTATACCATGCGGTTTAGAGTTGAGGACGTTCCAAATCAAGTGCCTTTGGTACAGCAACCCCCTGGTTGTTATTGTTACTATTATTATTGTTATGATTATTGTTATTATTGTTACTCTTATTCTTATTATAAACCCTAAACCATAATAGTACTGGTATCTTTGGCGTTGGGGATCCAAGTCTTGCTGCAGCATGTTGGGTACAGCCACAGGAGCTTTGGTATCCAGCTGCGGTCCAGTCCGCATCTGCGAAAAAGCGTGTCTGGTTTGGGTAGGTTCATGAGAGAAAAACAATAGCAATAAGAATACCAATATTATATTAATAGTAGTAAGAATAATAATACATAATAACAAATAATAATGACAATAAATAATGACAATGAATAATGACAATAATAGTAACAATAATACTAACAACAATATAACAATAGTAGTAACAATAATAATAAGAAGAGGAATCGAAGTAGTAACAATAATAATAGTGATGGTGATGATGATGAAAGTACTTGGGTGCCGCACCCTGAGCTCGCAAGAAGTCAGACGACGCACAGGCGGAGTGACGTCAGATTCCCCCATGGATGTCGACAAATTTCATGGCCACACTGGTGAGGCTTAGATGGTCATCTTCACAAGCTGGATTGGGGATCCCTGAATTGCGAGGCTCAAGTAAAGCCTGGATGTGGGGGGCCCTGCAATGAACAGATGAGCACATTGGGCTATTCCGTTATTCCTGCTTGGCATACCTTATAAGCGAATGCTCTGGGTGCGCAAGGGCCCCCAGCGCAGCTGCTTCATGATGTGTTGCTTGTGTGCTTTGCGTGCAAGTTGACTTTGTTCTACAAGCTGGCCTGTCAGCCCGAAGTGTGTCTGGGCACCTCTCTTGATACCTTCACTCAGGCCGGTTCTCAGTTCGTGGATAGATTGACTGTGTTTTCGAAGCCTGTCGGCCTACGGCTTATGTAGTATGTGTCTGGTGCCACCAATACTTTTGTTGTACCTCAGACTGGTGGTCAACTTCTGGATGGCAGCGCTCTATACCTGGTGGCATTGCTACGGTTCGCGGTCAACTTCTTCATCGCGGGTCTTTTTATTGCGTCGCCGCGGATTGCCGTCCACTTCTTCACGGCGGAGCTTCTTTTCTGCGGTGGCATCCCCACAGTTTTCATACCAAGATAGTATTGTTCATTATTTTCACAGTTCACGTTCAACATGTGTGAAATGCTGCTTCTTCATTGTGGTATTCCTGCGCGTCGCGTTTAACCTCTGTGTGGCCACGCTATTTCACGGCAGAGGCATCCCCCTGCTTTATGCTCACCTGCTTCGCTTTTGGCACTTTCTCTCTGTGGAGTGGAGTGGTATCCCCACACAACGTGAACTTGTTTGCCGTTTGCCATTTGCCGCTTTCTTGCTGCAGTAGTATTTCCAGGGTTGGTGGTCATTTGCCTGCAGTGCCACGCGAAATGGTTTGCAGTCAACTTTTTTGTTCGCAATGGTATTCCCATCGTTTGAGCTTACTTCACTCCCACAGATCGCGGCCAATTCCTTTGTCATGCCATTGCCGTCTTTTTCCTACAGTTTGTGTTCTTGTCGTGGCCGGCACTATTTCACAGTGGTAATCTGAAGACTTGCAGTCAATCATGGTGGTGGTCAGTTTCCTTACACTTTTTTTTTTCTCTCTCTCTCTCTCTCTCTCTGTCTTTCTCTCTCTCTTTCTTTTTTTACCGCTCTGGCATCCCCATGGTTCGCTGTCGGCTTCTTTATGGCGGCGCTTTTTGCGTCGGCGGCACCGCCACGCTTTAGGGTCAGTTTTTTTGGTGCGGCGCTATCTGATAGCGGTTCTATCCCCACGGCTTGTGGCTGCAGTCTTGGCAGTGCTGTCTTCTCGGCGGTCAGCAAACATATTTCATGCGAGTGTACAGGTGCCACGGGCAAAGGCTGGAAATGCGGACTATGCCGGATTTGCATGGACTTGAACAGGAGCAAGAGCCTGCTGCCAACCCTGGGTTCTGATCTTCACCCCGCGCAAACGAATCCACGCACGATCATTTGAACATTGACTGGTCTCTTCGTCACGCACGTTTTGGGGCCCAGGAGCAGCGCTGCACTCACAACAAGCCGTGGGTTCCTGCCAACGCTGCATGACTGCAAGCCAGAAGCAAATACTTGCAACATCTTGCAACTTGGCTGTGGCGCTTGAGAATCCTTGTCTGGTCAGCCAGTGGAGGAGTGAGACACCGACAGCAACAGATTGATGATATTGCCAGGAGAGCTCAGAGGCTGCAAGGCGCTAGTCGCGATCGCGCTGCGGCAGCTGTGGATTATGGGAAGACAGTGCGGCGATTCAAGGCCAGCGACGTCAAGCTGCAGCACCCTTCTGCCCAACAGTGCCAGCCTCTGAGGCACAGGCTGGCAGAAAATGGCGAGCAGGACGCGTTTCCAGCAATCCAAAAATGACAAAAAGGAGAGTGCACAGCGCCCCCCCGCAACGGTGAGCGTGCATCAGTCTTACACACAAACGTGCCGGCGCCTCTTGGGCCGCCTCTATACGCTTGAACCCGTCAGCCGCATCGAGCGCGGGCACAAATGCTACCCGCAGCTAGCGCGTGGGAGGCGCAGGTGATGTTGGAGAGTGGGCCGTTGCACACACGTCCCGGGGTGTGGCTCCTAGAAGACGTGCGCTCGTTGCCACAGCTGCAGTGAGAGGTGCCGTTACCGTGCGGCTCACAGGGTGTGGCATTTTGTCCCCACCGGTTTTTCAGTTGGCTTCAGTACGTCCAGCTCGGGCAACGCTTGCAAGCGCATCTTGTCAAGCTGCTGAACCGCATGATCCATGCAAGAGCTGCGGAATTTTAACTAACCCCATTTTGTTCCCGTTGAGCCACGTTCTTGACAGGTTGCACATCCGCGCAGTGGCTGCATCGAGGTGGCTGCAAGCGTGCTTGCAGAAGTGAATCGCGAACCACTGGAGCAAATGGGAAGTCCGCTCAACCAAATGGCTTCAGTAAAGATCGTCCAAGAATTTTCGGACACGTTCAGCCAGGGGGAGCTCGTGCCTTGTTCCTTCCTCGTTTCGGAAGTTGCAACAGTCAGCGTCGTGTGTCCACGCGAATTCGGACACTGACCCCTTGAAGAACCGGACGAAAGGGAAAATGCTGCAGGCTTCCGGGACAGTTCTACCAGACTCTACCATGGCGGCCGTCCGGCACGTCAGTTATGCGGGCCGCAGGCCGTGTGGTCCTTCACGAAATGCACCTGAACTTCGGCCGACGAAAAGCGTCAGTCACGTTAAACTGCTGCAACCGGCTTGTGCCGCTTGTCCCAAGCTTCTACGACATAACGCAGTCCAATTCATCGACTTGCCGGAAAACATGCGCTAGGCGCCTGTTCCTTCGGGCACGATGCGCGCGTTGCAGCATGGCGCCCCGGCCAGCCGTGCCTGCACCCTGGTAAGATTGCTGCGTTTGACGATTCCGACGCACCGCTTGGAATTCGGGGGCCGCCTTTCGAGGTTGTGGCTGCATTGTCGCAACAGGTGTGCAGCAGCAGCGTGGGTTCTGTAAGCGGCTAAAATGTTAATGTGGAGACGAACAATAATATAAATTGAGATTCGCATGCTGTGTTGATTGGGTGTGTTGGCGAGAAGAGCAATTGCAACAACACGTCATCATACAGTTGTTCAACATGAGGCAACACAACCGAACGACAACGCTGCATGCATGTTGGTCCCCCGGTGCCGCCCACGGTGCATATCAAGCACGAGGGCACAGCAGGTTTCACGCATTAGTGCCGCCAAGACAGGGATGGACAAAGGACCTGTGTCAGGCTGAGCCATCCATGGGGGTGTGGTGACCGGGGAAGACAGACGAGAACTGTGGATGGCCGCGAAAACGCCCAGACAGATGAATGGCAGTCACACGCATTTGGGCAACCATTCTCGCACAACAGCCTTGCTGGCCCTGGCGTTGCCTTGGCCCACGCTGCCCAACGCAAAAGTCGCCACACTTACCCTGAGTTCGGCCGTGCACGGCGCTGCCGCCTAATGGTTTTCGAGGTTGAGGTCGGAGGACGGTGGGCCCCGGAAAATCCCAGAGGCCACGACGTTTGTCCGACTGCTCGCTTGCGCCCGCGCTGCGGCCGTCCCAGCGCCCCTACGAGCGGCCGCGGAAGCCGCGTGGGTTTTGCGGTGGAGCGGCATCTTGGCGGTTGAGGGGGATCGAGCCTTCGCTGCGTCCCTCCTTGAATTCCTGCCTGGCCACGAGAGCCGTGCTGGTGGGCCCGACCCACCTTTGCATGAGCTCTTGGCCGATGCCCGATGGCAGGAAACCCCACGTGTTGCGCCTTGCGCGCCATGCACGGGTACCGTGAGAACGGCAGGGGGGAAAAACCCGCGGAAAGGGGGAAAAAAAAAAGAGGAGTAGGAAATGGAGCCGACCTTGCAAAAGGTGATCTTGTTTCTGCATAAATGTAAGGACCCAAGTGACTTTGTCCGTTGAACTGCAGGAATGGGAATGTGATTGGTTGGATACTTAGTCGCAACGAGAAAACCTGCAGAGTAGCGCAATTGCGCAGCGGATCGTTGTGCTGATGACATGTTGCGCACACAATGCATCGCATGATTGCCATGTGTATGCCGCAGGCGAGATATCCGCATGAATGTTTGTGTTCGGGGTATGGGCAGCTTCACTGTGTTTTGACAGACGCCACGATCGTGAGTCCCGTCACACAAACCGGCGAGGCACAGCCGGGGTGCAGACACCCACCCTGGCAACACCATTGTCCAATGTTACGCGCCGCGCGCGTACGCAGAATGCCCCACACTGGCGTGTGCCGACGCTGCCGCTTGCGTTGAGGTCGCTTGTTGTTTCGGCACTGAAGGTGCGGATCCGTTGTGGCTGTTGGCGCGGGATCGTCGCCGCCCTGCAAGGGTCCGCCTGGGCAGCCTGGGACAGTCCAAGTTTGGCCTG